AATATACCACGTCTGCACAGAGGCGATTTTACGGGGGGTAGGTGTTTTACCCTCCCCTCCTTAGTAAACGATTTTCAATTTATAGTCGGGTTTTTTACGAATTTAGTCGGCAACTTTGATTTTGAAGACTTTTTTTTTTTTTTTAAGACGCCAATCAGTACTTTTCATAATCTCCCCCCCCCCCATCCCTATTATTTATTTGTAAAATCCCTTCTGCATCTGCATCATTAATTATCAATTAGTAGATTAACTGATTACAAAAATACTAATTAAGGTCAACTGTAGCTTCAATAAAACTAATATCCTGCAATCATACAGTTTTAATAAACCTATAAAACAGAACATGTTTCATTAAGTAACTTTTGAAGTAATTAAACTTTAGAAATTTTAAAACCGATTAAAAAACTAAAAAATACATACTATTTAGAAATAAAAGTATATTCAATAATCATTTCGTTTATGATAATAATAGAAGAATTAAAGACATTTCAGAAATTTATAAAAGTAAGATAGGAAATAGAAAATACTAACAGCGTGCACATCTTTGTTTTATATCAACAACGTATTTATACATTAAATCTTCAATGATTAACATTTATATATTATATTGAAAATGCCTTGTGCCTTATACGTTGAAAGCGTTTGAGTCCTTCCAATATTATACAGAGTATAATATTATTTTGATAGTTATTTAAATTCTGTGAATGTTGCGCACACGTTTTAGAATGATTAACGGGGGTGTGGTAAAATAGCTGTAAAATTTTAAATTTCCTTATTACCTTGATTTTATGTATTTTAACTTATTACTTTATTTCAATAAAAATAATTATGTTAATAAAATTGTTGATTTTAAATATAAAGCTGAAAATTTGAATTATGTTTTTCAAAAAAACATATTTTTCAACCCCCCTAATTGATTAAGGTTGCCGCGTGCCAAGTTTAAATCATAGGCTTGCCTTTTTTTATTAATATTTGTTTATAAAAATGCAAAACAATTTCTTTATAACCAAACTTTTTTCTTCAAAGTGTTTTACAAAGTATTTTAGAAAAATAAAAAAAGATTATATTAAAAAAAAGGGGCGCTGATAGGAATCAAACCTAGATCACCCGCTGCAGGGCATTGCGTACTGGCCATTCGGCTACACAGACTTATTCAGTGATAAAGTTTTGAAAAGTATATAAAATAAAAATTACTTTATCAAATGGAATAAGGTGCTACAAATCACATCTTAAGGCAATGTTGCGGCAATGCAATTTTCCAGTGAAAGTAAAACTGGAAAACTTGACATATGTTTAAGTATGTTTTAACATTAAAAATTTGAAAATTAGATATTTGCGTAAGTTAGATAATAGCATACACTTTTGTTGACTTTTCTTATATAAAAAAATTCTACTACTCTTTCTCGCTATTACCTCGGTTGCAATGGCTGCCAAGAGTATCGTGTCAAAGCATTAATTTCGCTATTATATAGTATGATGTTTTTATTTAATTGGTCTAAAAGAATTACTGTAGCTTCTTTCAAAAATTAAAAAAAAAAAAAAAAACTCTCAAATAAATTAAGAGTAGTATTGAGAGAACTGTTATAAAATTGATGTTTTTATTTTTTTAACATATATACTCTCATACAAGATGTCAACATTTAAATCATATATACATATATATATATATATATATATATATATATATATATATATATATATATATATATATATATATATATATATATATATATATATATATATATATATATATATATATATATATACATATATATATATAATAATAAAAATTATTATATTAAAAAAATATACTAATAAAAGATATTCCTCTAAAATCTATGAAATAGTTTTGACATTAACTTACCAAAGCTAAAATTATGCTTTTATTTGTTTTAAAATTCCATGTAGAATTAAAAGCAAATCATCCTTTAGTAATAACTATTCAATCTTGCATAAAATGTCGGGCAAATGTATTTCTAAAAAATTTGTTAATAACTATATTGCTGTAGCACAGATGTACGCGCCATCAATCAAAGCAAGTAGTCACGCCATCAATCAAAGCAAGTAGTCAAAAATTGCGAAGAGTAGAAGCATTTTTTTACTAACCGCGTGGTAAATGCATGGAACTCGCTACCTTCAAAAGCAGCAAATGCAGTCTCCTTAAATTCCTTTAAGGATCACATTAATGGAAAAATAACACACAATAGACACAGTGCGTGTCTTTAAGCTGTCAGTATAATAGTGCCTGGTGTCGCACTACTTCATTAGAATTTTTATTAATTTTTGTATTGTAAATTTCTAATTCTAAATAAATTAAAAATTAAATTAAAAAACATAGTCTGGAACTAGTTAAAACTAATATTGATGAAAAGTATTAAACATAAGACCAATATTTATATAATATTAGGCCAATTTCACAAATAACAGTAAGCCGTTGATGTTTAGGCTAAAGTTAGACCAATGCCAAAGAAATTATCAAATTTGCATAGTACCGTGGTCAAATTTTTGCCTTAAGCCAACGTATCTTCATATATTGGCCCAAAGTTGGCCCAACTTCATATATTGGCCCAAAGTTGGCCCAACGAAAGCTTGTGAACTGGGTCTGGATAAGATAAGGTAAAAAAGTGATAAAAACTTTACTTTAGTTAAGTTAAGTAAATATCTATTAAAGCATAAACATTTTTAAATTTTTTTAAATATATTTTATTTTGCTGTTTATATAAGTTACAATTTCCTTTCACCAAAAATAAAATATAATTATAAATGTACAAGTAATAAACAGTCAGGGGCTCAAAGAAGATATGAATGGCAAAATACAAACCTAATCTTTTCATAGAGCCCCTACAGATCATAACAATAATATATGGTAATATATGGTTAATAAATCAAGTAGAAAATTTAGGAAAAAAAAAAAAGAAATAGCAAAAAAGAAGATATAATATTTAAGAATAAAAATAGAGAAAAAAGAAGATGTATCAATTAAAAGTAAAAACACCCTCAATTAGTCAAAAAAGAAGATATAATATTTAAAAATATATATAGTGAATAAAGAACATATAGTAAAATATATATATATATATATATATATATATATATATATATATATATATATATATATATATATATATATATATATATATATTTATATATATATATATATAGTTAAAAAAATATAATATTAATAAATACTAATAGTCACAAAAAGTTATAAAAGAATATATTTAAATACAAATTTCCAATTAAATATATGATATTATATTCAACATATAATATATAAAGATTACATATGATATTTAAAAATACAAACTGTTAAATAATCAGATATAATGCTAAAAAAAAATTTTTTGTAAACAAAAATAAAAATTAATCCGTAAGGTTTAGAACGTAAGTTTTTGTTTGAAACTGAAATGAATTTAAAGATTTTGCCATATCTAAATTGTTATTCAGAAAAAAGTTCTATAGCTTGGGACCTCTATAAGTTATACTAAATTCTGTGTATTAGTTTACTTTTTTAGGTAATTTATATGTGTTACTTTGATTTATTCTTAAGAAATACTTCTCATTTAAATTTTTATTAAATTTACTTATGAAGGTTTCAGGAGTTAGATTATTGGTATATTTATAAATAAAGTTTAGGTGTTGGAAAATATTTATCTGATATATGTTCATCATTTTCATATCCATCATTAAAGGCTTAGTGTGGTCCCCCCTTTTTTTATTGCATATAATTCTACAAGCATGTTTTTGTAAGGAAAGAATTTTTTTAAGTTTTGTTGGTCGACAACTTGCCTACGTAATATTTGCATAAGTAATGTAACAATGAATTAAGCTGAAGTATATAAGCTTTAGACTATGTGAATTTAAGTATGGGCGAGTTCGATACATAATACTAATGGTTCTACTAATTTTTGATTGTATATATTTTATGTGTGGGATCCATGATAAATGATCATCCATAATAACTCCTAAAAACGTTATAGTATTTTGTTTTTTAATTTGTTTATAATTTATAATAAGTTTTGGCAGTTTTAGAGGAAGGTTTTCTTCTTGTGTTTTTTTATGAAACAAGGTATATTGTAATTTTTCAGCGTAAAGAGAAAGTTTATTTGACCCGAACTTATCGTTTACTTTTTCTAATTCAATGTTCATGTCAGCATAAAGTTGATTAATATTGCAGTTCGATAAAATTAGATTTGTATCGTCTGCAAACATGATAGCATTTAGTTTTAATGATGCATTATTAAAATCATTAACATAAATTAAAAATAAGAGCGGTCCTAGGATTGATCCTTGAGGCACTCCACACAGAATATTCAGTATTCCAGATTAATTATTCCAGAATAATACAATAATACCAATCAGTATATATCTAAAAAAGAACAACGTTAGGTCAATCGGACCGCTGTGTTCCATAATTAATTTAAACAGACCAATTTCACTTGATTATCAGCTTTTACATGCAGTTTGCCACCGACCAATGAAACAAATAAGCCTAGGTAGTCTGCGGTTAGTCTTATTCAGCAAGTTAAACACGCTAGATGTAGTCCGCTGTCTGTTTCAAGATCAAGTAATCAATACTTAAAATTCAGGCAGTTTTTCAAAGCTTATATGTAAGTTAACATAATACATAATACCAAAATACTGGCAAATATACACGTAAGAATAATGTTGCAACTAGTAATAAAAAATAAACAATTATCTTTAAAAAATAAATTTAGCTATCATCTGAACAGGAAAGTATATTCAGGTTGCTAAATTCAATATAAAACATAAAGTATTCACTTGTATAAATTTTTAAATTAGCTCAAAAATATAGATACAATCAATAATTCAATATTTTTTGTTTAATTTAGTGTGTAACCTAGTTTGCATTAGTAAATATTATTTAGCTTAAAATAAATTATTGAGAACAATTCATTTCTCATTTATTGACTTTTAAATGATTTTTTTAAATAAATCTATTAAGTTATTCAACTTTCTAATAGTTTTAAAACAAAAAAGACAAGCAAAAACACACATTACATCGGTAAAGACCTTAAAAATATAATTATAAGTAAGTAGATAGTTAGAAAAAATACTAAATGAAAATATTACACTTGAGCTTTACAGAAAAATCAAAAATTTTTATACTAATTTTATGGGTAAGGATCACACTTTTTACTTATATTTTCGCTTTTTTTTATTTAGTGATAATATTTATATTATTTGAAAAAAATATATTTTTTAAATTTAATTATGAAAAACGATTTAAAAAAAAAAAAAAAAATATATATATATATATATATATATATATATATATATATATATATATATATATATATAAATATATATAAATATATAAATATATATATATAAATATATATATATATATATATATATATATATATATATATATATATATATATATATATATATATATGTATGTGTATATGTGTATAGTATGTGTTGATATAGCTATCTGAAAGTCTATTTTAGTATTATACATACATACATACATACATACATACATACATACATACATACATACATATGTGTGTATGTATGTATAATACTAAAATAGACTTTCAGATGTATGTATGTATGTATGTATGTATGTATGTATGTATGTATGTATGTATGTATGTATGTATGTATGTATGTATGTATGTATGTATGTATGTATGTATGTATGTATGTATGTATGTATGTATGCATGTATGTATGTATGTATGTATGTATGTATGTATGTATGTATGTATGTATGTATGTATGTATGTATGTATGTATGTATGTATGTATGTATGTATGTATGTATGTATGTATGTATGTATGTATGTATGTATGTATGTATGTATGTATGTATGTATGTATGTATGTATGTATGTATGTATGTATGTATGTATGTATGTATGTATGTATGTATGTATGTATGTATAATACTAAAAAGACTTTCAGATAGCTATATCAACACATACTAACATGCTACTAAAAATAACCTTACATGTTGCTAAGACTGTCTCAAACTCTTCATTGAAAAAAAATAATCAAAGGTTTGTAGTTTTGTATTTTTTATAATTGAAATTAAAAGAAGAAATACCTTTTTACTAGGAATATTTATTTTGTCTTCGCCTTTTTTGTAATTTTTTTACTTGATCTTTACTCAATTAATATGTAACTTCTTTTTGCAAATTGTTATAAAAATATTATTAACAATACGAGATCTTTATTTGATTCCCCACTTTTGGTGCTTTTCATTAGTAAAATTGTCATTGCTACAACAAATCTATAAAATTTGTTTTGCAAATTGAAAAAGAATGACTGCAATTTTTTATTTGAATAAGAGAAATAACATAAAATACTAAACAAATAAAGTTATACAGGTTGAATTGCATATATAGGTTCTTCTCTGTATAAAGTAACATTTATTAATCATAAAATTAACATAAAAAATCTTTTTGTTAATTTTTATCTTTGTTCCTTGCTTAAGTATATAAACCTGTGCTATTTTTAAAAAGCTGACTCTAGTAATTATGTAGACAAGTAAGCTAAATCTTGCATAATATTTTTTAATGATTATCAAAATTCTGATAAAATGTTTTTTGGTAAAATCCGCGAAAATTTTTTTACTAATGCATGTTTCTAATTATACTAACTTTTTTACTAATGTATGTTTTTAATTATACTTACTAAAACCTAGCTCCAAAAGAGTACTTTGTAAATTAGAACTAAGAACAACTGCAAAGCCTTCCTCAAAAAAATCATTCATAAGAGATACAGTTGCTTGTAGGGTTGTTATAAGAGCACAAGAGGTTTTTTTAGTTAATGTAAAGTTTTTATCAAATTTAATTTTGATTAAATTTCAGTACTATTTGCAATTTCTCTATAAAGTGTGGGTTTGTTCCCAGCTTTACTGAGTTTGATTGGATAAATTTAGTATCTGCTTTGAATTAAGTATGATAAATAATTTATAAAATAATGATTAAAGTATGTTGCATTATTTTTTTCAGGAAAATAACTCTAAATTACAGCTGCAGTTGTTTCGTCAAATATTATTAATGTTGACAACTTGTTTGTTGTTTCAAAATATGTGACTTGATAATTAATTTTACTTGCGTGTTTAATAATTAATCTTTTAATAAATTTAAAAAAATATATTCCCTGCAATGTAATTAGCAGTAACTTTACATAGTCTCTGAAAAATCAAATGAAAAAGAATAATTTTTTTTTTGCGTTTAAGAAGTTTTTTCTTACATTTTTTATAAAACGAAGTATATCAAATACTGAGTATGTTTTATACACTCCTTTTTTAAACTGAATAGTTTTCCATCACCAATATATGCTTCATGAAACTATAAAAATGGATAAACATTGGCAGAATGGTTATCTGTCACAACAGCCTTTATCTTAAATTCAGATTGGTGCATTGAGGTAATACACTCATCAATTTCTTTTTTCAAACATAAACTTGTTATGTAAACTTTTGGTGAGGACTTTAAAATAAAAACAAAAACAGTTTTATAAAGATTATTTTCTCAACCTTCATTAAATTGTTTACAACTTTGAGATTGAGCTGCTTTTTGGAAGTACATTTTAGCCTGTTTTGTTGCACTTTAATTGCTGTATGTATGAAACACAAGCATAGTAGAGTTTTTACATTTCAAAACGTTGTTTTGCAGTGTAAATATTTCAAAGAAAAATCGATTTTTTATATCTAATAATTGCAATTATAATAAATACAAAAGTACAAACCTTTAAAATTATTTCCAATGGAGAGTTGTAAGTAGTTTTAGCAACATATAAGGTTATTTTTATTAGCATGTTGGTATGTGTTGATATAGCTATCTGAAAGCCTATTTCAGTATTCTGTGTAATTGGAATAAACTGAAGCAGGCAATCAGTTAACAAAAAATCCAGCACAAAATAATATAAGTACTCAAATAAAATCTAACTATTATTAAACCATTTTAATAAAATCAGTATAAACCAATTATAGTGCAAACAAGACTCATAACCATAGCGAAAATTAAGTTTTTATACTTGAGCCGTAAAAAAACTGGCCTCTAAATTTTTTACGGAAAATGTAACAAATCAGGCCGTGTATTTTAAGTAGGCCAAGTGCACACACACTAACACTCACACAGAGTACAGTATATACATATATATATATATATATATATATATATATATATATATATATATATATATATATATATATATATATATATATATATATATATATATATATATATATATACATATAGATATATATATATATATATATATATATATATATATATATATATATATATATATATATATATATATATATATATATATATATATATATATATATATATATATATATATATATATATATATATATATATATATATATATATATATATATATATATATATATATATATATATATATATATATATATATATATATATATATATATATATATATATATATATATATATATATATACAATCAAGGTTGACATGTTTTGATAAATGTTTGATTATAAATTTTTTTTTTTTATAGATGATTGTATCAGTATACTGTCTGAAGCAAACCGGTATGACTTTTTTTTTTAACTTTTTACTATTTTTCTTTTGAAACTTTGACAACATTATTTAAATAAAATTAAATAATGGAATGTTTTAAAATCTTAAGTAAATAAATAAAAAAAAAATTTGTATTTGATTCGGGCAACAATTTTTATAATACTAGAGTTTGAATGAAAATATTCAATAATGTAAAAACTTATCTAAACAGACCATATGAAAAAATCTAAACAAACCATATGAAAAAGAAATGAAAAAAAAACAAAAATGAAAAAACAATCTAAACAAAACATATGAAAAAAGTCTATGAACAGTCCATCATCAAATAGACTAAATTAAAAGAATTTGATATCTCAGGCAAAATAGTTTTTATCACTTTTATTTAGTGCATAATAAAACATTATGTTATATTGTGCACTATATATGTTAAAGTCTGTTTTGATTGTTATAAGGTAATTTGTTACACTCACAATAATAAATTAAAAGTTCATAAGAGATTGAAAGACTTATAATAGTAAAAAAACTGGTTTTGTGATATTTTGAGGTGTCAGAACAATCTGCAGCGTTTTTTAATACTGGATGCACAAATAGTATATTTCAGCACTCTAGAAAACAAAAATTAGATAAACATATACTGAATAAGTTAGAGAAAATAATTACTGGTCTGAGAAAAACACTTTTGTAAAACTGTGACAGGTTTAAAGTTCTTGTCCGATTTTCATCAAATTTAGATAAAAATTGGGCAAGAACCCATTGATATAGAAGAAAAAAAAAAAAATAAATAAAGGTATTGTTAGAGTTAAAAGACCATGAAAAATATATTTTGTGCATAATAGACGTTTTCTGGATCCTTATTTTACTAGTATTAAAACTTTTTTAAATAAAGATTTAAAATAAAACTGAGTTTTATTTGATGGAACTAGAGATGGAAGCTTGTTTAAACAACGACCATAATAAAATTTGTAAAATAATAGAGGCTTGCAACCTTAAGACGATAGGATAAAGACTAAAGCGTGGCAAGTAGAGCCGATTCAACTAATTTTACTATTCAATATTAAACCTTACCTTAATGAGAAAGAGCATAATTAAAAGAGTTATGAATATGGCAACAGTATTCCATACAGAAACGAATAAGACTCTAGTAAAGGTATATAAGAGAATAGAATCGTAAGTAAAAGGCAAGCAAAATAAATAAGAAGCAACCTTAACAGTTGCTAACATTTAATATATAAAGATATGGTTTCTATGAAAGGTAAGTAGCAAATTATAATTCGAGTAGATATAAAGTAGAGGACTTAGTGAGAAAGTTTCTATAATCACAATGGGAATGTTAATAACAATTCGATATTTGATAGCAGTAAATAACTGAGTTTTGCTCGAGTTAAAATTCACAAAGATCCAAATTGTTACAGAAGAAAAATCAAATTAAAGATCATATTTCTATAATAAGTTAAAAATCTGATGATTTTTAATTTATAATACAAAAATGTTACTTCTCATTTATTTATTAACTACATAGATTACGAATTCAGCAAGTTAATACACTAATTCAAAAGATATAAAGTACTTGCTACAAAAATAACGTATATTCAATGTAATTTACGTTTTTAATCACGTAAATTACATGATTTTCATCAAAATTTATATTTGATGAAAATCATGTAATTTACGTGATTTTCATAAAATATAAATTTTAGTAAATAATAATCAAAACATAATAAGAAAAAAATGAATAATATATTTTTATAAGAAAGCTTACTTTTGCAAAGCTTTAAATAGCTAGTGTATACCAATTTAGGTTCTGGACACAACTACGAGCTGTAGTTTTCTAATCCTTTCCTTCCGTTATGTTTCTTGTTATGTAAATCTTATATGTGTTAGGTATAGAGCAACTGTGTTTTGAACTTTTTTACTTAACTATAACTAAGAGGGCTAGCAATCACAATCCGATGCAAAGTAAAATTTTTTATCGTGCGAATTTTTTGTAATTTTAAGCCTGTATAAATGCAAGTAACTTAAACAACAAAAACATGAACATAATAATGTGCAATCACATCTGACTGAAATTATATTTTATATTACATAGATATAAACTTGTGATTGTTTAGCAACTTTAGTTTTATATACGGTTTGATGTAATTGTATAAAATTTAGTAATTTGAATCAATAAAAACTGTATATTTGCTTTTTTAACAATACTACGATATTCAAACAAAATACAACGTTTAATAATAGCACTTTTATGTTACTCTCAAAAAACTTCTAGTTTTATCTTTAAAGAACATTAATTGAGCTGTTTTACTATTCTATATATATATATATATATATATATGTATATATATATATATATATATATATATATATATATATATATATATATATATATATATATATGTATATATATATATATATATATATATATATATATATATATATATGTAATAACTTTTGTTTTACTATTTTATATATATATATATATATATATATATATATATATATATATATATATATATATATATATATATATATATATATATATATATATATATATATATATATATATATACATAGAAAAGTAAAACAAAAATTATTAATATTACTCCTATTAACTATTATACTTCTAATAACTAAATAAAATTTTATGCTGAAAATTTAGGCTTTAATTTTATTAATAAAATTATATTTTTGCTTTTAATAATTTTGACAACGAACCCTCAATAATGAATTAAATACCTGCTTTTTTGAAAAATGAAAGTTATATACTCCAACAGTCACTCATTTTCAACAACAAGCTTTGCAAAAGTTATGTTAAATTTTTTGAGGGTTTTTTGGTAAGTACAAAGGTTTGTATAAATGTGACTAGAGCAGTCTAGTTACATAATTATTCATAGCGTGAGCATGAACGTATAACTGCATATGACAAATTTTTAGATGTATAGTAACTTTTTATAGTATATAGGTTTTTAAGTATAACTATGTAAAGCTCTTATTTACAAAAAAATAATACAAAGTACTACCTAAAAATTAGTTATTGGTTTTTTTTAGTTACAATACCTGAAAGACAATCAGACAATATACAATGTCCATTGAATGCATTAATAACAGTATTAAATGCTGAATATAAGGCTTCTTACTGCAACTGTATCAACACTACGACCAATATGTTTAATTGCTCAAAAAATGTAACTAACTATATTCAAAGTTTGTGCGACAAAAAAAACAATTGTGTTGTTCATTCTAATAATGATATTTTTGGTGATCCTTGTATTGGCATGAGTAAAGACACAAGCATTACCTACATTTGTCATCTAGAGAGTAAGTGTATTGTAAATTCGTTATTACAGTAAAGAGTAATTTTACGTTAAAACAACCAATTTTTTTAGTTGAACCCTATTTCCTTGGTTTTTCTTTATTTTTTTTTATAGTTGGTGCTTTATAAAAGTTGATAATCTTAAAATTTTAAAGTTTTTCTCAAAGCGATTTTTGAGTTTCATTTGTTTCCATTATGGCTTATATTATTATAGCTCGGTCAACTTCCGCCGATTTTGAAATTACACTTTTAACTATAAAATAAATTATTTTAAAAAAAAAAAGGTAAACAAAGGGAAACTAGTTATTCTTCAGAATTTCAAATAAACAAATTTTATTCTCATATTTTGATTGTAAAAACCTAGAAAACACAAATAAATAAAGGATTTCCATAGCAAAAAGAAAGAATGTGTATTAAATTTTTTAAAGTGAAAATTTGAAATTAGATAAATAAATCTTTGAAGTATAGAATAAGAAAAAAATATATTTTGCAAAAGATATACTTTTAAAGCTAAATCAATTTTTTTTTTTTTTCATAGCAAAATTAAATATTTATTTTTTTGTATTATTTGAAGTATTAAATAAAAAATATGCATACTTAATTGTTTTATATATACATGATTAAAAAAACTATATATTTTTTTGATAAAATACTGCTATATAAATTTTAACTTTATGATTTTACAAAAGTTTTAAAGTATTGTAAAATTTGTCAGTTTTTTTGATACAGTTATTAATGACTTAATGTGCACATGACAAATACAGGCTGAGAGGTTACCTTAAAGGATTAATTTAAAAACGTGAACTTCTTTCTTTATTCTATACTTTAGCAAACTATTTTATTCAGCACCGTTTGAGGGTATTTTTTATCTTCATAAAAACCATAAACAATGGATACAACATTACTTTCAATACATTTTCCAACATCATTCAACGGGAGTCAAAGTACAACACTCTCACAATGCAGTAAGTCCGACTCAGCACAATTAATTACATAATTATTTCTACACAAATGAGGCAAAGAAAAAAAAAGATTAAACATTTTATTAGCATGTTCTTTGTTTAAAAAATTTCAACGAAATTTATGTAGCTGTAATAATTATTTATAAAAAGATTTTACTGTTAAGGTTTCAAATGTTATCCTTTAAATTTTATGCTGTTGAAAGTTTTAACAGCCTAAGATAATTAACTTCCCTTTTTAAATAGCATTTAAATTTAGTTTAAGTTAGTTAGAAACATAAGCTCTACACCTAGATTCAGGTATTTAAGTGAGAATTTATTTTTATAGCGAAAAACATTCAACTTTTATAATAACATCTTAACTTAAAAGTGTGAATGTATATAGATCGGAAATATTTTTCTTTTGTGAATTAGACACTGCATTGTCATCTTTAAAATGCAAATTACTTAATTTACGATGGTCTGTTAAACAGTATTAAATCATTATTTACTTTCATTGATACTTTATATTTTTTTTTGACGGGATAACATGTTGATTCAAAGCAAATATGTATATTTATAGGAGACTCTCCTAGGTATCATGAAAACCTGCTTTTATTATTGTTACTGTTATTAATATTCTTATAATTTTTATAATTGCTATTAATAATATTATTATTATTACTATTATTATTATTATTATTATTATTATTATTATTATTATTGCTGTTATTATTATTATTATTATTATTATTATTGCTATTATTATTATTATTATTATTATTATTATTATTATTATTATTATTATTATTATTATTATTATTAATTGATTCAAGTACCTTTCCAACGTTGAAGATCCATAAACCTTCCTAAGTATAAAAGTGCAGGTTTAAGATATTGCGTATTTTTATATATATAGTAAAGTTATATTTGTACAACTAATTTACATTTTACTCTCTATTAAACACAGGGCATGTTTTAGGTTTAGTCGGTTGCAAACTTTATTTGCATTATTTCGTTGATAAAATAGTTTCTTTTTACTCTTTTAATACTTGTGTGAAAATCAGAAAAAAATATGTCTGATTGTTTACTAGTCTGATAACATATGTAGTTTGTTATGAATGAGGATGAAAGTTAATAAATATGCCAATATTATTACAATCATTTACATAAAAAGTAACCCGACCTTTTACTGGAGCGAATACCTATTATATTCAAATGATTAAAAATTTATATTTTAAATAGATAAGATTTCAGCAGAGCCATGGCTATGCTTCTTGGTTTGGCATAGGTATGAACAAACTTAAGATTGAAATGCGCACAATGCGTAGAAGTTTTGTACCTGAAACATCAAAAAGTCCAGCGGGCGCCCATACATTAGCAACTGCACTGGACTTTGATTAATTTATAAAAAAAATATGAGCTTTAATTTTGTGTATTTGAATTCCTAACCTGAAGGTTAGTTACGATAATGCTTAATAATAGATACATAATATTTTATAAAAATAAACTAAAAAAATATTTAAAACAAGAAACAACTGTTAAAAAAAGTTTTTGAAATGAGATACTTATTCAAAAATAGTTATTGAATACGTTACGTAATCCAAATGTAACATTAATTAAAAAAAAGGATAAACCTTAACTATCAAACATATTAAATATAAAGTAACAAACTAGAGTTTATTTAGAAGTACAAAAAACAAATTTTTAAAATAATTTACTAATTTTTAATTTTATTTTCATCAAGTTATAAGCAGAACAAAGACTTTTTACGTCATATGTTTAACTTTAGGCAAGTGGTTAAGATTGATGATAATGTTTTATTAGTTTAATGTAAGTCATACAATTAACATCAGTTGGGAAAATTTTTAATGTTACCCATTAAAATTTTTATTGTTACCAATTAAAGTTAATGGGTCAAAGATGCATATCATCAAAAAGTTGTAACAGTCTTACAAAGCTTACACAAAAATAGAAATAAAGGTATTATTTATAGAGTAAATATCGATTAAAATGGTATAGCGTCAATTTTTTATTCATTCAACAAATGATAAAAATACCAATAAAGAAATTTAAAGAAAACAACTTTAAACCAATAATAATTAAAAAAATTAGAGTATTATTTATTCCAACTAACTCTTGGTTTCAAAAAAAGTAAAAGACCAATTTATTATTTCTGAACAATGTGCTAGAAAGCGTTAAAGTAAAAATTGACTTCTTGCTATTGTAGTTAAATGAATATGTATAAATTAAAAGAATAAAACCTTTTTTTCATCTTTGCTTAAAGAGTTTTTTCAAGAAGATTAATATATCAAAATTATGAATTAATGATTATGTCATTATTTAAACCGTTCCTTAATAATAAAAAAAAATTATGCAACCTATATGAACTTATGTTAAATTTAAAATTTAATACCCTTATTTTAAAGTAATTTTTTTACGTTTTGTAGCCTGTGGCTTGAAAGGAAAAACCATACAATTAAAATATAGGTCATATAATTGCATTGGGGGTCTTGGTGGAGTGAAGGCTAGTTATGGTGTCTCAATAAAAAAACTCATCTTGTGCAGATAATAATTGAATTTTACACAAAATTGCACTCTTTTAGATGTAATTTCTGCTAAAATTGATCATGCCCTCTCTCTTACCTCTCTTACCAATTGCAACAATTGGTGACTTTAATGCTCATCACACTGAACAGCATGGCTTTAACACAACTGTCCTGAGAGCACTAAAGCGTATAATTTCTATATTTCTCAATCTCTTACCCAGATAGTTAACTACCTGAGTTAGAGATTGAGGATCGTTTTCCTGACAATCTTATTTATTTAACTTCACTATTTGATTAATGTAATGTCTTTGATTTACGTCTTGATCCGAGCTTGTGTCCGATTTCTCCTGTTTCTCCCATTGGTGGTTCTGACAATTCAACAATCTCTTTAAATTTTTTACTTCATATATTCTTTTCAGATTCACCGTATTATCGTACTACTTACTACTACGCTTAAGCTGAATGGGAATTTTTTTGTGATTTTCATTGCGACGATTTTTGGGTTGATGTCTTTTCCCACTCAGATAAAAAATGCGCCTCCTACATAACCTACTGAATTCATGCAGGAAAGAAAGCTTTCTTTTTATTATTGCTTTCTAGTCAAGCCTCATTCTACTCAATGGTTTTCACCCTTATGTGCAGGTTTATAAAGAAAGGTCTGAAATTTCATTTCTCATTCATGGGACTGATCTTATTACAACTGTCAGGGATAAGACGGAAGTAATTGCTACAAACATTTTTTTTTTTGACTTTTGAATTTTTTAGCCATTCTCTTCTTTTCATTCCAATCAAACTGGTTAACCCCTTGATAGACATTCAAATCACTCCGTTGCTAAAGTCACATTTCAATTACACTATTCTACTGCTTGTGGTCCCAACAAAATTCCTGTCATACTCATAAAAAGTTGTTTTCTAGAAATCTTTTCGATTCACTCTAAACTATTTAGTAATAAGTTCTTAATAAGTATTTGTCTGTTTCTTGTTTTCTTGCCTGATAGAAAAAGGCTTCTGCTGTTTCTATTTTTACAAAATTAAAAAAAGCGAACATTCTAATTTCTCTAAAACTCGTCCAATTATTTTTTTTTCCTGTTATTAGCAAGGTCTTTGAGTACTTAATCAACAAGTTTTTCGCCTCCTATTATTACTTTGATGAATGATTGCTAATCATCTATCAATGTTGTATTAATTTTATGACATTAGGTTATTGAGTCAAATAACCTAATGTCATAAAATTATTACAGTTTTTGGTCCTCTTGATCTACGGCTGACTTGGTAACTGTTGTGACTGAAAAATTTTATTGTGCATTTAATGATGGCGAAGAGACTAAGGCTATTGCTTCAGACATATCTATAGTTTTCGAAAAATTTGACATGTTGGTCCTCTCAATACGTTTGTTTTATTAGATTTATCAGAGAAAGTTTTAGAGATTATCAAATCTTTCTTTCAACCGCTTTTAAAAAAGTCATCCACAAAAAGCATCACTCTTCTTTATTTTCAGTAGCTTCTAGGTTACCTCAAGGTTACATCCATGTTCCTGTTTTGTTTCTTATCTACATTAATAACCTTTCTAAAAACTTTAAATCTAAAGAAACTCTTTTTGCCGATAATTCAACTTTATTCTTCTTTCTTGATAAAAAGATAAAAAGAACAGGCAGCTGATCTTGAATCTGATCTTATTTCTACAACAGAAAAAGGCTTTCTGTAGTTTGTATATTTTTACTCCAAAAAACACGTTTATTTAATGCAAACTATTGCATTACTATTGACATTCCTACATTATTGAACAACAACCCTCTCACTGAGTCCTGTTCTTTACGTCTTCTTTGATTATTGTTTAATACTACCTTATATGAAAATTATATATACAATTGATAGCTAAATTAGTATATGCTAAAGTTGTTTTTTTTTATTGCGCTCGCCATTTTCTCTCTCCTGATTTTATTCTATATTTCCACAAACTTCTTATTCGTCCCTGTTTAGAATACTGTAGTCATATTTGGGCTGATTCTTTTAATGATGCTCTTTCTCTTCTTGACAGAGAAAATGCATTGTAAACGTAGTTGGACCCAGTGTATCTGCCAACCTTGCCGTAAAGTTGCATTTATTTCTCTTTTCTACAAAAACCGTGGTCGCTGCTCAAAGGAGCTATCACTCCTAGTTCCATCAGTTCTAATCTTATTTTTTTACTGTATCTATCCCTGCACGCTCTGAAATCTTTAATTTGTCGAATTCTTTCTTCACCATTCAACGCTTTAGAACTCTCTCTCATCTTTAGATTTTCCTAACTCATACAACATTCAACTTTTTATGTCTTCTATAAACCGTTTCCTTGCTCTATAACTCTAATGTTTTTTTATAGTAACCGTCAACTTATTAGTAGTTGCTTGCAGTCAGTAGATCAAAATAAAAAAAAAATAAAAAAAGAGGGCAACAACCAAAGAAAATTTAAAATTTAAATGTTATTTTTAATTTTATATTTACTTTTGTTATACCATAACAGAAGTAATTATTATTTATAGAAGTAATTATTATTATAAGTAGTTATAAAGTAAATATAAAACTAAAAATGTAATTTTAGAAGAATATTATATCTTAACTATTTTATTATCAACGCTTCCCGTGTAAACAATTTTAAAAAACTGAGACAAATAAAAAAATATATAATCTTGTTCCCAAAGGCCGTGTCTATTTTGTTATCTAAAATGTATTATTTTTTATAAAATTTACAAATACAAAATATTAACAGTTAATTCTAAGCTTAATTTCCAGTTGCTAATATAAAACCAACAATCTTTCTATAAAAATACCATTGAAACAACAAATATCATTTTGCAGAGAGTATTATATTGTTGAAAACACATGGTCTTGCAGTTGATCTAAATAATTTTGTTGCATGTATGCATGATTCCTTTAGTTGGGTCAGCATGGAAACGAAGATAAAATTTACTGCAATATAGAATATAATGCAATAACTAACAAGATTTAATATGTCGAGGTTTAACAAGATTTCAGTTTTTCTATGAATGTTTTTAAGATTCTAATGTTTAAAAAAAGTATTTTTTTATCTTCAAAAACATTTACAACTATATTTAAAATATTATTTAATGCATTATTATAAAATTATTAGTTAACTGGTTTATATAGGGTTCAAAGTCAGCTCTTACCATATATGCAGTTTAATTAAGGAAGAAAGTGTGAACAGACTGACTAAATGCAAAACTTTAGTGATCTGTGATAAGATTGTTATATTATATATTATATTTTCATGTGGCACGCCTTATTAATTTTAGGTATAGTTTTACTCATGCCTAGCCTCTCCTTATTGACACGATTGTTTTTAGGATATACGAACTGAACAATTTCAATGATCTTTGTTTTATGTATAAGTGCAAAAATAGTTTATCTTCTGAACCCTTTCAAAACTTATTTACTTTGAAAGAAAAGAACAAATATATTTTAAAAAAAGATGAAACTATTCGACAACCTCCGTACCATACAAAATTTGGAAAGTTTTGCATCTCTCTTCGTGGAGCTTTTCTTTGGAATAAAATAGTTAAAAAACTTTGATATTTTTTAGAAATGTAGTAATGGCTTTTTTAAATAAAAACTAAAAAATATAATATTTTCAATTGATGATATATATATATATGTTTTTTTAAAATTCTGGTTTTAATTTTTCATATATTGTTTTTTCCAGAAAAATACTTGTGTGTGTATAAGTTTGTATGTATATATATGTATATATGTACGTGTGTATGTTACTGTATATGTATATGTGTATATGTGTATGTATATATATGAGCATGTATATATGTATATATACATATATATATATATATATATATATATATATATATATATATATATATATATATATATATATATATATATATATATATATATTTATATATATATATATATATATATATATATATATATATATATATATATATATGTATATATATAAATATATATATATATATATATATATATATATATTTATATATGTATGTATGTATGTATGTGTGTGTGTGTGTGTGTTTGTATATATGTTTGTATGTATTAAAATGTGTATGCATGTATGTATGTATGTATGTATGTATGTATGTATGTATGTATGTATGTATGTATGTATTTATGTATGTATGTATGTATGTATGTATGTATGTATGTATGTATGTATGTATGTATGTATGTATGTATGTATGTATGTATGTATGTATGTATGTATGTATGTATGTATGTTTGTATGTATGTATGTATGTATGTATGAATGTATGTATGTATGTATGTATGTATGTATGTATTTATGTATGTATGTATGTATGTATGTATGTATGTATGTATGTATGTATGTATGTATGTATGTATGTATGTATGTATGTATGTATGAATGTATGTATGTATGTATGTATGTATGTATGTATGTATAATTGTATGTATGTATGTATGTATGTATGTATGTATAATTGTATGTATGTATCTATGTATGTATGTATGTGTGTATGTATGTGTGCATGTATGTATGTGTGCATGTATGTGTTTATGTATGAATGTATATATGTATATATGTGTGTATGTATGTAATATGTATTTAAGTGTAGTTTTCTTTGTATATGTCTATATGTTTACTTGTGTTCATACAAATGTTCTATATGCACATATGATGTTATGTAGGTATATACACGTAGGTGGCTAGTATGAGTTTCATAACTAACTTACTTGCCTAAAACGGCTGAAATTGTTCAAAGTTTTTGCACGTAGGTCAATGAAGAACTTTTACAAATCACCAAGTGGAAAATATTTATCATATGACAATAAAAATTCGACAAGACAATCGTGAATCAATACTCGAAAAAGGCAATCGTGGTACTTAAAATAAAATAAAATAAAAAAAAAAAAAGAAAAAAAAAAAAGATAGATTTACTCTATTCAATAATGTATTTATAAAGGTGTTTTACAGTTGTTGGAGAAAATAATAACTTTGAAGAAAAATGAAAAACTGATCTCAAAAGTTAAGGCATACTGAAAAGAAGAAGTCACATTGTATGAGTATACATCAACTTTTATTGACGCGTCAAAATTTTGCGGTTCTCATGACAAGACTTTTGAAGTCTACTTTGAATTTCCGCGTTCGTTATTTGTATATAATTTCTATCATTATTTTAAAATAATCTTTAATTGTATTCTTTTTTAATTTCATATATTTGTATAAAAATTTTTATGTAATTAAGAACAAAAAAAAAAAAAAAAAAAAAAATGTATATATATATATATATATATATATATATATATATATATATATATATATATATATATATATATATATATATATATATATATATATATATATATATATATATATATATATATATATACATACATACATAAATGTGATTGTTTGCTATTCATTTTCTATTTTAACTATTTTTATTTATATTTATCACTATTTTTATTCTGCTATAGATTCTATTATTTTCTCTTTTTTTATATAATTTTACTTGAAACAGTTATTTCTAACTTTCATTTTCATAATATTTAATAATAACAAATAAAGTATTGGAAACCTCAAACTATTGTAAAATTAAGTTTTTAAATTCATTTTTAGATTCAATATTTGTTCAAGAACTAAAGAATAATTACACAATTATAGAATTAAATGATTTTTACGATGAATTTATGGTATCTTTTGTTATCCTGTCAAATGAAAAACCAACCTCATCTATTATAAGTATTGAGGATAAAAACAATAATCATGCGTTAAAGTTTAACATAACTGATCTATCTTTAATGATTTCAACAGTGAATAATAGTTATATTGTTAATATAACACCTAATACATCAAGTACAATTGTTATTACTCAATACTTTATAAACCGTAGCAATGCCTATAACATTTCTGTAGCCGTTAATGAAACTGTTCGTTTTTCTGATATAAATACTAATCCAATGATTTTATCTGATTCTGTATTGTATATATTTTTATATTGTTCCTTTGATCATTCTTGTAATTTTGGATTTATTAAAAATCTATCACTATACAGTAAAACCCAAGGTAATTTTATGTTTATATATTTGTTATGTTTTAAGTAATCTTTTAAAATTTTTGTTTTTATGTATTATTTGAAAACATTTTTAATTTTAAAATTATTTCTTACGTTGATTTTTTTGAAGCCATTTTTTATGGTATTTTAAGGTGACTTAAATTCTTACTGTATCGCACACTTCATATCAGTATATCGGTTTTTATGTTATTTTTAAAACAACACTACTAAATGATTGCTAAATTGAATGTAGGTACATAACGTCTATTAAAAGTTGGTACATCTTTTTAGTAGGTGCACAACGTCGATCAAAAGTTTAATTTAAGTTGGGTAATGTTGGGCAACATTGAAAAGTTAAATCTAACGTTGAAACAATGTTGGTTACACTACCGTTATTTTTTATCAAAAATAAACAGCAATGTTAGCGTCAGTTAAAATAACGTTAGTTTACATCAGAATTACAATGATGTTATAATTTTGGTTACGCTAACGTTATGTTTTATCACAATTACATGGTTGTAATAAATAAGTTCAATAGAGTTATTGTCTGTATCGACAAGATTATTATTTATGCGATAGAAGAAAACTATTTAAAGTATCAAATATATATATATATATATATATATATATATATATATATATATATATATATATATATATATATATATATATATATATATATATATATATATATATATATATATATATATATATATATATATATATTTATGATACAAGCACCAATCTAGGCAGGATTGTAGTTACTATGTCTTTGACAAAAAAAGCACATTATGTGCAAAAAAAATCAAAATGGCGATCATTTTTCAATATGGTAGACATTTGACCAGAAATTTAGATACAGGGATTGACTGTGCCTCTCTAAATGTTTCTTTTAGCGTTTGAAAACATCAGAATTCCAACCTTTTCAAATCCTAAACTATGACAAAACATTCTTAATCTTTTTTATCAATTTTAATTGCAAAATTTGCGGTTATTTTGTCAAAAAACATTGAATTTTTGGCCCTGTTCTGTTCTTTTGATTGTTTTTACACTTGATTTTGATGGTATTTGTTGAATTCTATTATGATTTGTTTAAGTTTCGCTGCTTTGAATATCATTACAATTATTTTTTATATAAACAGTATGTATATAAATTTAAAAAGTGGTCGTCTTAGCACAACTAGGGCACAATGTTAACACCACTACTTTGAGACCCAGATGGGGTACAGTGTCAGCTGATATATAATTTAAAACTTTTCAGTGTCCCAAACGCTATCGAGCTAGCTCCACATATAGTATTGTTTTTTCTACTTTGTAATAATACTCTAGCAAAGTGAGATAGCCACACCTTTATTGACAGAATGTGCCAGCACGGAGAGCCGAGCCATGGATATTGGGGCTTCAGTTGTCCGGACGGTATACAAACTGGACGGGATTTAATTGACACCGGACGGAAGATCGAGCTAGATGTAGGATTGACGTTAAAGATCATTTTGAATCTAATTGTATCCCATACATCAATGTGCTTTATCTAAGGTGGTAAAAGAGTAAACCCTCGGCCTCGGATAACTAGTAAAATTTGTTCATATAAATATATATATATATATATATATATATATATAAACATATATATATATATATATATATATATATATATATATTATATATATATATATATATATATATATTTATATATATATATATATATACATATATATATATATATATATATATATATATATATATAATATATATATATATATTTATATATATATATGTATAGATATACATATCTATATCTATATATATATATATATATATATATATATATATATATATATATATATATATATATCTATATATATCTATATATATATATATATATATATATATATATATATATATATATATATATATATATATATATATATATATATATATATATATATATATATATCTATATATATATATATATATATATATATATATAATATATATATATATATATATATATATATATATATATATATATATATATATATATATATATATATATATATATATATATATATATATATATATATATATATATATATATATATATATATATATATATATATATATATATATATATATATATATATATATATATATATATATATATATATATATATATATATATACTGTGGTTTGTTATCATTTACATTTTGATTTGATTCATTCAAAACGTTTGTTAATTATTATGTCAGAATTGAATGTGTTAGCTGCCCCAACGGCAACAGACTGAAGTAAATGTTGTCTTTACCAGACAGAAACGGAGGAAGAGTAAAATCACCTCCTTCCAGATACGAGGCTAGAGAAGACAGAGACGGATATGTCATGAATTTAAGAAATGTTATTTTATTCAAGGACATTAACAGGTTACCAATTTTACGTGATCCTGGAAGATTAGGCGAAGAAGACTGAATAGAGAAAACAATCGGCAAAAACCAAGGATAGCATCCTCAAGTTCAACAAAGGTGACATCAGAAAAAAGTAGACGATTGAGTATTGAAAAGAAAGTGTGCTTTCTTTATGAAAAAACAGAACCATCTGTAGATCTTCGACAAGCTATGACAACGCAGTTAGATAAGAGATTAAATTAATATGCGAGAACATTAAATAACGGGAAGCTGTTTACACGGTTAAGTAGAGGAGATGTAGTAACCCAAGAGCTAAAATACCACTGTTCTTGTTTAACAGCACTCTATAACAGAGAGAGAGAGAGAGTATTTCTACTAAAACAAGGGGATCAGAAATTCAAACAGAGACAGAAAATGAAGTGGTCTCTCAGATTTTTTCAGAGCTTTTAGTATATTTAATAGAGACTAAAACAAATGCAGCTGAACCCGTGGTTTTTTGGCTAGTCAATTTAGTAACTCTCTACATTAGCGAGTACAACAACTCAGAGTCGATGACAATATTGTCAATTCAACTAGACTCAAAGACAAACTATTGTCCTATTGGCATTTAAAGAAGATATTGGAGCAGTTCAATCAAAGGCAGTCAACTACAATAAATATGTTATTATCACAAAAGCAGCGGAAGTTCTTCGCGAGCGAATGATGAACCATAAATCATCATTTACTGGAACCTTCAATGACAACTGTGTGGAGGATTCAATACCGCCCACACACATCAATCGTTTCCATGATTGTACAGGGAGCTGACATAAAATTCCAATTAAGACCTGGACTATTCAAAACTGACCGAGCCATGGCCCAATTACTTCAGTATATATGTTATACTATATATCAACAGAAGGGTATATTGTTGCGAAACTCAATAGATCGTGAAATCACCTTCCCAATGTTTTTGGGATTATCTATTTACTCGCTCACATTGTTGCAACAGTTTGTCATGATTTGGACAAAATCAAGGTAGTAGTGTCCCATTTTAATCTAGAACGAGCCCCTGTAATTGCCGCTGACCCTTTTTGCCATGGCAAAACAAGTTTAACGGCACAGGCCAAAAATATATGGTGAAGATAAATTTGTCTTTATGTTTAGTGGACTGCATATCGAGAAGGATTGTTGTGCTGATTAAATCAAACGATACTGACATTTTTGTGATTGCTATTTGTGGTTTCCATAGTCTCAAAAAAACTTAGTTTAAAAAAGATTTGGCTTGAGTTCGGTCAGGGGAAAAATGTGAAATGGATACTTGTGCATGATGTTAATAATAAGTTGGGACATAACAAATCTGCTGGTATTTTATTTTTTAATGCCTTTTCTGGCTGCGATAACAAGTTAAGTTTGAAAGTTAAAGAGAAAAAATAACTATGGTAAACGTAGAAATCTGCCCTGGTGTGACAATGTGTTTCGAAAATTGAGTACCTATGTCTCGGTAATGGATGGCTATGATATTTTTTATTTAGATGTATGTTATTTCATTGTATGACAGGTCTAGTCTGGTGGCCAGGGTTGACAAAGCGAGATTTGATATGTTTTTCAGGAAACAACATTCATTTGATGCTATCCCTAGAACAAACGCGTCACTGATTCAACATACCAAATGAGCAGCATATTAAACAGGATGCATGTAGAGTCAGGCATTGGCATGTTCAATGGAAGAAGTAAGTCTATTTAATAAGGTCTGGAAGAAGACCTAATCAGATGGAGTTACAAGTTTTTTTCTAAAGATTTATCCAGGCTCTTTAGGTTTATTTCTTTATAATATCAGAACATTTTCAAAAATGATTATGTATCACACTAACCACTACATAGAGCAGTATACGGCAAACTGAGCTTGAAGCACTTACATCGACCACGACATTCATTTTTACATACGCTTTTTGTAAGCTGCTTGCATGACTCTTTCTGCAATTAGATAATGACCATATATATATATATATATATATATATATATATATATATATATATATATATATATATATATATATATATATATATATATATACATATATATATATATATATATATATATATATATATATATATATATATATATATAAATATAAATATATATATATATATATATATATATATATATATATATATATATATATATATATATATATATATATATATATATATACATATATATATATATATATATATATATATATATACATATATATATATATACATATATATATATATATATATATATATATATATATATATATATATATATATATATATATATATATATATATATATACATACATATATATATATTATATATATATATATATATATATATATATATATACATACATACCTATATGCATCCTTATATTTTCCCAAAATGTTCAATTCTAAGTTGGTTTTTTAATATAGTTAGTTCTAATTTTTAGTTATTTGGTCATTTTGGAGTGAGTGGTCATTTTGTGATACACATTGTATGACAAATAGATCTCGCAATTGCAACAATAATCAATGGGTAAATTGCATTGGAAACAGCTTTAAGACTGAATCCTGCACTAGTTTAGATAAAGGTATTTTCATTTTTTTAAAATTTTGATATCTGCTTGTTACTTTTAACTTTTCTGTCAATCTAAATTAATAACAGTAACTAAAGTAGTAACAATAACAATATATATAATTGTCACAATAATAATAATGATAATAATAGCAATAATAACAATAATAATAATAGCAATAATAATAATGATAACACTAATAATACTAATAAAAACGAGCAAACAGCAACCCGTAATGGAAAATATAGACTGTTTGTTCAACACTTGATGTTTAGAGTGGTTGTCTTACTACTTGATATTCAACTTCCACAACATTTACATGACCTTGAACTGTTTTCCTAAATATATTTATTGTTACAAAAACTCAACTACAAAAAATAATTAATATTTTAGAAAGACGTCCTTTAATTGATGGTATTAAACTACCAGTAAAATCTAGTTTAAAAGTATGAAAAAAAGTTTATAAAATAATCTACCAGTTAAAATCTTGCCTTAATTTATTGATTTATAACTCACATATCATGTCCTGTCAGGTTGAGGCAAAACCATTTTCCGCAATTTTTCTAAAATTCGACAGAATAAGTTTTAGTTGGTGGTCAAAAATAGTAATAATACATTATCATGATTTAAGTTAACAAATAAAGTTAAATACGAAATAAGTTCTTGTAATATTGTAATACTTATTATAATTATAAATTCACTTTAATTCAATCAAAACAAACTTAAAAGAAATTACCTTCTAAAATTATGCTGTTGGTGAAAACTTATAATTTTTCGTGGTATCCCTTTTATTAATGTCCTTTTGTATAAGAAAATTGTTTGTTTTTTTTAAAAGCGCTAAATGTATACAACTAAATTAATTGATTTCAAATGCCTAAACAATTGTTGACAAATACGTTTCAAATACAAAATTTGAAAAGCTTCAATTTTTTAAAAATAATTTCTAGCCCATTCCTTAATTATAAAATAACAAATTTTTTTACAATCAAATAAGTTTTTGACAAATTAACTAAAAAAATTATAACTTTATTCTTCTATGTCGTTTTAATGCGTCACATGACAAAACTAAGATAAAAATAGATTAAAAGATATAAAGTAGCAGATAAAAATAAAATTATAATAACTCAACTGTTTCTAAAAGCCTGTTTGTGATACTCATATTGCTGCCGCAATTCAGCAGTTCCTGTCGGTGTTGTTCGATGACGTTATTTCATGTTGGCTTTTATTAAACTATTAACATTGAAGACATTACAATAAATAAAATATTATTCATTTAAAATTGAAGTATAAAATGCTTCAAACAGAAAATAAATGGAATCCAGTGTAAAAATAAATGGAACCCAATATATATATATATATATATATATATATATATATATATATATATATATATATATATATATATATATATATATATATATATATATATATATATATATATATATATATATATATATATATATATATATATATATATATATATATATATATATATATATATATATATATATATATATATATATATATATATATATATATATATATATATATATATATATATATATATTTATCGGTGCAAACATATTTCTATTTGAACATTCATTTATTTCATATTTAATTTTGTCTCTTTTTTAAAAGTATCGCTCACCTCAAAAAAAATTATAAGTACTTCAGTTGTTCCTTCAAGAGGAATTGACGGGTATAAGTTTATTAAGATATGTCAATTTGTAGAAAACAATTTGTTGAAAAAACGAAGTCGTGGCTTTTTCTACAAATTGTTGCAAATTTTTTAATTGAGTTTTACTATTTAATTTGAGATTCCGTAGCTTGATGTGCCTATTACAGATACTACAATTCGTATGAGATAAGATTGTTCAGGTTCATCTGGATTCACTACACCATACATACAAGATGGTATCGGGTCACTGGGATAAATTTGCCAATAATAATCTTTTGTGAACCGACCTTTTTTATTTAATTTCAATAGTTGGGCTTAGATTTTCATCGCGTAACATTGTGTTGGATCCTCATTGATAAATTTAGTTGGCCTTATTTGTTCTTAAATCTTTCTTATTGCTTTATCATAAGGGATTGTTACAAAGGCCATTTCTTTTTCGAATAGGTATATATCAATATTCTTTTCGTTTTTAATTGTGTGAGTGCTTTCTATTGTTTACGAGTCAGGTTGTCATTCTTATTAATTTTGTTTAGTTTTACTTTTCTCAAAACTTCTCTTCTCAGCGTTTGCGCAGCTTCATCTTTTTTCTTGTATTAAGTCCTTAACACAGATGACTCGGTTATTGAGACGATGTCAAGATACGGAAGAGAAAGAATCACGTAAGAACTCAGTTACTTTATAGAGGGTTCTATTAATTCTCTCTTAACTAGTAAACCATCATTCAAAAAAGAAAGACTTAGAGAGCGTTGCTGTTAAAAAAGTTAAAAAAGACATGCAATAATTACTTATTAGCGTAAGAAAAGTTATTGGTAATAATGATGAAAATAACAACATAGTATCAACAAAAAAATAATAACATGTATAAGCATTAAACTGGTTTTATGGTGTTACCAGTAAAAAAATAGTTTTGCCTCAACTAAGCAGAATTCTAGTTTCTTCCTAACTGTTGACTAATAAGTAACACAGTCAAATTTACTAAATTAAAGCTGTGATATAACAGTGTTGACTAATAAGTAAAACATCATACAAATTTACTAAATTAAAGCTATGATATAACTGCGAGCAAACTATTAAAGCAATGGCAAAAGTAACTAAAATAAAAGAAGAACATTTCTAAGAAAAGTTAAAATCAGTTAAATTCAGAGTTAGAGAATTGACTCCTTGACAGTATCTTCTCGGCCTTATCGACCATATAAATATGGCCATATGGTAAACACCATAGAAAAAAAAATAAAAAAATAAAAAAAAATAAAAAAATAAAAAAAAATAAAAAAATAAAACGACTTCTTTTTTTTTTTTCAAAATGCTCTCAAAAATTAAATACAACAACTTTCTAAGCTATTGTTTTTTTTTTTTTTTTTTTTTTTTTTTTTAAGCTGTTTCATATATTTACAATAAAAACATTACTTTTATAAAAATTGGCCGAAGCGAGAAGAAGACACTGACTGTCTTATCACCTAGCCTCGTTTACATTTTCCCCGGGTTTATAAACAAAAAATAAAATATACAAAAAGCGTTAAAAAGTACACAAATTTTGTCAAATGATAAAATATGATAAAATTATTTTTATATTGATTTAAAAATAAAGAAAGTTTACTATGCTAATTCCTATATATTTGATACATGTTTATATATATATATATATATATATATATATATATATATATATATATATATATTATATATATATATATATATATATATATATATATATATATATATTTATATATATATATATATATATATATATATATATATATATATATATATATATATATATATATATATATATATTCTATTTTAAAAATCATTTTTAAAAAAAATATTTAAAGCCTATTGTATTAAAATCTAAATGAAGTAAGATTATATTAAAAACTGTTTTAAATTTTTCTAGTGAGTAACGTTGTTTATTGAATATTTTTATAATATATTTCTATAAAAAATGTCATCGATCTATAGATAGAGCAGCCGTGGCGCAGTAGTTAGAGTTCTGGTTCTGAACCCAGAGGTCCTGGGTTCAATGCCGGCTCTCGTCCAATAAGCGACATTCGTAAGGAAGGAAGCGTGAACTTCTAGATAAATGCTCTCCCGCAGTATTCCGCAAAAAGACCGTAAGGGCTTCTGAAAGCACCTATAAAAAAGAAAAGATATAGATTTCGATAAAATTTTTTTTTTAAAATAATTGCTTAATTTCTAATCTCAACAGGCTAAGTAAACAACCAAGAACAAACTAACATTTATTTACTAAAACTACTAAATAAACAAATTAAATCTCTAAGTTGCTTTTAACTAAACTCTAGAATTGTTTGATTATTTCCATTAGCTTTAAAAAATGTTTATAAAAAAGTCAAGAAAGTACTTAAAAATAACGTAAGACTTAATATTTGCATAGAATAAAAACAAAGATACCTATCACTGAAAATGAAGTTTAATAAAAAAATAATTATAAAAGCCATCTAAAAACTAATATTAGTTAATAAGAGCTTTTACTATTGAGAAAATTCATAGTGAAAACAAATTATAGAATAATATTAAACCTGCAAAGAAAAACACGATGAACAAAAAAAACTAAAAAACGACAAATCTTCATAAACAAAAAAATATGTCGGTACGTTTGACCCCTGCTAGCGTATTAAACACCCTATTTAAATAACGAATGGTCTGAACCCACATACATGAAGTATCTTTGAAACAATCTTTGAGTCGAAGGTTGCCATAAAGGTCCAGATTACTATATCAAATAAATTTTATAGTCTTCAAATATAAATTCTAAAAACTAATATTTATTTAATGTATATTTGAAATTTAACTGTATTAAAAAATTAAAAAACTTAAAATGCTTTATTTATATAAAGTCATTTTTTCAATAAAGCAACGCAAATTATAACAAGTAAGATCTTAGAAGATTGGTGTTATTAATTAGTGATGTTATTTAAAATTCATGTATATATTTAGCCTCTAATGCTAAATTACTACATGAGTTTTACATGGGTTTTGTTTTAGTCTCTGATTTATGAAAGACAACTCATTCTATTATTTTCTAATGAAGTCACAGCTTTAAAACTCAATTTTATGGTTCTGAGGCCGGTTGGTAGTCAGGTTTCTCGAGCTATGGTAGCTCTCAGAGAGATTGATTTCATTAATACTGTAAAATATTAGAGTACTAACTCTGCATAATATTGCGCATGGATGGTGTACCTGTTTGTACTTTTGTTGTACATTGTTGAGGCCACTTTTGGAACTATTTATCACGGATTAGTGTTTATTATTTGTGATGAGACAATTTCTTGCACCATTAAATAGAGTACTTAGTACTACCTATGCTTTGAGTCAAGTT